AGAGAGAGAGAGAGAGAGAGAGAGAGAGAGAGAGAGAGAGAGAGAGAGAGAGAGAGAGACTTGGACGCCGACAGCGACGACGAAGACGATGGCGACCCACAAGAAGACGGCGCCGACTGCGTGGCGGACACATAATGTCCCACGGAGGGTCGACGATCACCCGTACGTACGGGACGTTAGTGTACATGTGGCGCGTCCATACGGACGTCCATACGGACGGTTCCGTACGTACTGCCCGTCCGCTTAAACCGTCGGTCAGGGGGGCGAACGGTTTCCGGGACGGTTTTGGGGGGCGGGAGGGGGGTTGGAGCGGTGCCGGTGGAGGAGGGGGTCGAAGCAGCGGGGGTGGGGTGGGGCACGGCCACAGGCACTGCTGAGGGCTGCTATTGGCTGTTTTTGACTCTGTGTTTTGTCTCCAATGGGGCCTAGGAAAGGGAGGGGAGACCAGCAGCTTATCCCTGTCCGTAAGGACAAACAGAGGGCCGCGAAGCTGAAGTTCTGCGGGTTTAAATGGATCACGAAGGGGCAAACGCTGCCAAACTCCAATGGGAATTTCCTCATGGAGTGCAAATTGTGTGGACAAGGGTTTCAGGGCAGTCAAACAAAGGCGGCTGCACACTTCACGATAATGAACTTTTAAGGCTACTTTTGAAGCAAGAAGCGAATCTGTTGTTTCAGAATTACAACAACTCATGAGTTCTCAAGAGGCTCTGCTGTCAGAGTTCTTGAAACAACAACTATGGAGAAGCTGGTGAAGATTTGGAACAAGACGAACTATACGTTTGATCAGAGCCATTGCCGGGAGATCCTCAACTTCCTTAAGTGTCGGGGGTATCGAGACAACAAATGTACTTCGGGGAGGGAGCAGGCAGGGGAGGAGGAGGAGGAGGAGAGCAAGGACGAGAGGAGGGCGACGGAGGGCCGAGAGGATGATGGTGACAGCGACATGCCGACCATGGACGTGCGGAGAGAGGTGGAGCGTGCGAAGGGCAAGATGAGGAGGGAGAAGGCCGTCGACGAGGACAACACTCTGGGCGAGGAGGAGGAGGAGGAGGACGGTGACGATCAAGAAGCGGACATTGGAGCCTCTCTTGATGGGGGGCTGATGGCTGGTGGCCGTCGAGGCCAAGAGGGGGCAGCCAGAGCGATGATGGAGCCAAGGGGATCGAAGAAGCGAAAGAGGAAGGCAAAAACGACTGCCACGACGACTCCAGCAACACCTCCTTTGCCGAAGAAGTGCAAAGTCCTTCGACAGACTTCCATGGTCGAGGCCTTCAATCCTGTCAGGCAACGAGATTTTTCCAACTACTTGCAGTGGTACTACGTCAGTGGCATTCCATTCGAGGCATCGAGGAGGCCAGAGTACAACAGGATGAGGAAGCACTTGCTCGAGTGTCCCCCGTATACACAACCTGCGTTGCCCACGCACCGTGTGATTTCGGGCGACGACATCCTTGAGCAGCAGCGAGTTGTGGCGGACTTGGTGGCGGCCGTCCGCAAGGACATTGCGGCGACTGGAGCAACTATACTTACGGACGGTGGCAAGTCCATCATGAGTGACCAGATAGTGAACTTCCTTGCTGTTGGACCCACGAAGCCTACTTCTTCAGGACAATGCAGCGGGACGATGCTGTTCCGGATATAGTGGAGGCTGTGGTGGAGCGATAGAAGGACGTGTTCGACAAGTTCGGTGTCGAAATTATCAACGCCATTTGCACTGACTCCGCGTCGGTGTTTGTGGCTGCTTCCAAGTACCTCGCGAAGGGGGAGGTCAAGTACACCCGCATCACCTGGCTTCCTTGTGCGGTCCATGTCTGCAACTTGTTGTTGTCAGACATCACGAAGGACGGCAGCAACGGGAAAGTTGGAAAGAGGGAGGACATCATCATCAGGGCTCGAGCGGTCGTGCGTTTCATTAGAGAGCACGGGGCGGCTCTCAACCTTTATCGACGGTACTCTGCCGCCCACCCGTCTTCCGCCTCCGCAGCTGCGGCCAGTTCCAGCGCTGCACCACCACAGGCTCAGCGACGTGGCAGAGAGCTTGTATACCCTGCGCCGACGTGGTTCGCCACACACTATTTGATGTTGGAGAGGTTGTTGGATCGTAGCAGAGCGCTTGAGGCGTTGATGATGAGTGATGATTGGTTGCGGACTGCATGGAGGAGGTCCATTTTCTTGCAGGCCAGGTGGGTGCGTCATCATGTGTGTTATGCGCCATTTTGGGAGCACGTGGAGGACATCGTGGAGCTGATGACGCCTGTGATGCAGTTGCTACGTCGTTTGGACAGAGGGGGGCGCGTGATGACTCCCATGTGGTCGTGGGCGCTTGCCATGGTTGACAGGGTGGCGAGAGCGAGGCTGAACAGGACGTGGAAGGACGAGCTCCACATCGTTATTCAAGCTTGTCAGGCGCGGGTGGATCATATGTTGGAGTCGACACATTGCATTTCCCACCTCCTCAACCTGCGCCACAGGAGCATCATGTTTTTCGGAGCAGCGAGGTACAACGTGCACGACAAGACACTAGCAGAGGATTCACTGCGATACCTTCGCCAGCAGACTGGGGATAACGAGGACGTGTATCAGACGTGGCGCACGCAGCTGGCTGAGTTTCATAGTCGGGAGGGCAATTGGACGTACGAAGGGGTTGAGGTCCTTGAGGGTGTTAAAGGACGCGGCCTCCTGCAGAGGGGAGAAGGAGACGTCGCAGGTCGGGCAGTGGTGGGTGCAGCACGGGGATGGGGTCCCTCTCCTTCCGAGTTACGCCATTCGCCTGACACACACATGGACGTGCGCCTCTCCAGCGGAGAGGAACTGGGCCGTCCATGAGAGTGTTCAAGTGAAGAAGCGTAACAAGCTTGGTTTCATCAAGCTAGCTCGTTTGGTGGAGATATCCACCAACTTGAGATTGAGTCGTTGTCAGGGGGGGGGGTTCACGGTATGTTCTGCCATGGGAGGATGCTGAAGAGGAGACAAAGGACGTTATTCCTCCGCCGCGTGATGAGGGTGTTCGGCCAGCCGACCGAGTCACCAAGGCGCAGCGCGAGAGGCAGGTGCAGCTCGGGCAAAGGGAGTTGCCTTTCGAGGGCATCGCCCAGCGTGGAGACGTATTTTGGTCATCGCGCCACGGTGCTCATGTCAACAGAGTTGGACTCGGTCTACGATCCCGACCTTGATCCTATGGCTCAAGACCTGATTGAGGCGGAGCCGTGGTCCGATCCAAATGACCTGGCGGTGGAGTCAGAGTCAGGGGATTCTGATGAGGGTCTCGACGACGCTCCTCTCACTGAGATGATGCGTCCTCGGACGAGTGGTTTCACTGTAGGCCCTGCGTCGCCTCCCCCTCCACCTCGAACTTCGAGTGCTCGTGACATTCCACTTCGAGGCCCTTAGGACCAGGTTGGGGGCACGATTCCGCAGCCTTCGACAGATTGTCGTGGACGTGACGAGCAGGGCAGTCGGGGAGATGTTGAAGAGAGAGACGACGACGACGACCACAAGGAGAGAGGGTACGGGGGCAACAGTGTGGACAATGATGATCCCGCCCATTCCCCGACACACCGGTGTGGTGACGAGGACGACAAGGGCGGCGATGGGACACAGCCTGCGGGTGGTTCATAGAGGTCCGAGAGACATCGTTGTGACTGATGCAGTGGTGCAGGCAGGGGAGGCAGCGGGCTGGGTGCTGGGGGTGCAGGGCACACAGGTGGTGCAGGCCGTGCTGCTGGAGGACAGGCGAGGCAAGAGTCTGCATCGTCCACTCGCACTGTACACTGGGATGATTAGCGTGCCGCGACAACACAGGTTGCTGCCGCGTCGGCAGAGGTCGCTGCCTCCCCTGCAGAGTTTGCTGCAGCGTCTCCAGAGGTTGCTGTCGGGTTTGCAGAGGTTGCTGCAGAGGATGCGGAGGCTGTTGCAGCGTCGGTAGAGGTTGCAGTCGGGTCTGCAGAGGTCGGTGGCGAGGCTGCAGAGGTTGGGAGGGCATCTACACAGTTCGGTCCCAGTTTCAACGACGATATGTTTGGTGCTTCGTTGGGGCTTCCTCCGACGCCGACAGGCGAGCGTGATACTGGTGGTGTGGACGCACAAGCCACACGCATCAGTCAGATCCTTAGAGGTTTGCCTTCGTGCAGCGTGGGTGACATCAGTAGCAGCATGTTGTGGCAGGTAGCGGAGGACACACAAGGTTCGTCGGAGCAGCGTGAGCATGTAGTAGGGGATGATGGGGAGTGCCGACCTGTGCAGGAGCGAGTGTTAGAGTCGGAGCAGGACAGGACCGACCGAGAGGAGAGGGAGAGGGCATTGGAGTTGGCCAGGCATTGCGAGATGACACAGAGTATTGCGGCAAAGGCACGTGCAGAGCGGATGCTCAAGACGGATGATGGTGCGGGTCATTGTCCGATGGAGGATGCAAAGGTTGAGTGTGGCGGTGTGGTCGGTGGGGATGCAAGCGAGAGACATGCATCGCCAATTCATGGTGTTTGTATATTACCATTCGCTGGAGCTATGTCGGTGGGGGAGTTAGAGTGGCAGGCACTGGAGGACCCATTGCGGGCAGATCGACGCGGACGGATGGATGAGGCGTCGAAATGGGTCATGGCAGAGGGCCCAACTTTTGTGTCGTGCAGCCCGTCAGTGCCATCGTCTACCATAAATGTCATTCTTCCCACACATGCTGAGGGTCCAGGCACGACACCGAGTCCCGCATCGGCACCTACAGGGGAATCTCCTCCTCCCAAATCACGGAAGAAGAAGATGAGAATCATGAGTGCAGGAAAGAGTCTTAGTACTGTGAGGAGGGTGACCCACCAGATGCGGGCGAGTCAGCCTGGGTTGGCCGGTTTACATCCGCGTACTCTGGAGGCATTGGGCGGGGACATTGTCGCGGATACAGCAGCTTGGCGGGATAGGGCCTCTACCCAGGGGACGGCGCGCCCGATGAGCACACCTGCCGAGGCGGCGGTGCCTCGTGCTGGAAGGCGGACTTCCACTACCGCTACGAAGGAGCATGACGAGCACAGTTGCCCCCCTGGGAGGAGCATGGCCGGACGTATATTGGGGGAGGATGTGAGGGCACTGACGACACAACGATCGTCACAGACACCCATCAGCTGGGAGTCGGGTACCGACGGTGTGGAGATGCCTGCTGACCAGCGGGCGAGGGTTTCTGTATACGACCTTCTTCGAGCACGGGGCGAGGATGAGGCGGCACCACAGGGAGGGATTCATGCTATGGACACGACGCACGGGCCGGTAGGTGGCACAGGTGGCGGGGATGGTACCACTAGTGTGGGGCCGCAGAGGAGAAGGAAGGATATTGTGGACGACAACTGGAATGATGCTTAGTCCCACCATTGGTCCTCTTCCGTCCTCTATTTCCTAGTAGTGTATAGTACCTTTAGTACTTCAGATGAGGTCAAGTGTTTATAGGTGCAGTATGCAGCTCGTCATGACCGCATGTGTATTAGTATCAATGTTTCATGAGATTGCACACTGTCTTCATGCATAGGTGCAGTAGGTGCAGTTTTTTTTTTTTTTTCGTTTTTTTTTTCTATTGATGTTTCAGACGATTGCACACTTTGTTCATACATAGGTGCAGTAGGTGCAGTTTCTGCTTTTTTTTTTCCTTTTATGTTTGTATCGATGTTTCAGACGATGACACACTTTCTTTATGCATTGTTTGACTGAGTTCACTCCCCATGTTTCTTCTATTGTGGTGTGTTTATGGTGCAACTATAGTGCCTTGTTTTTCGTTGCTCCGTCATGTTGTGGTTTCGAAATTTCTGCAATGAATGTTACTCAATGCTTTTCAATATTGTCGTTGTTTGAAATCATGAACTTGATGTAGTCTTCAACTTGTTTCGTCGTGTGTTTCATTTGCCTCTCATGCACTTGTCAATAACCCCCAGACAACCCTCCCCAACCCCCAAAGATGACCTTGGCATAGCCGTCCCCGATACCGGAACCCCACCCTCCCCCCCAAAACCTTTCCCTCGCGAAACCCTTTCCAGCCCCCGAAAAAGACCCCGACACTGCGATCGACTACACCTAAATAAACTCCCCCGAACGAGCCCCTCCCCGGCCCCAATATATATATATATATATATATATATATATATATATATATTTTTTTTTTTAAACGGCTGAAATACCTCCACC